GTGGGGTGTGTGTGTGTGTGTGTGTGTGTGTGTGTGTGTGTGTGTGTGTGTAGTAAATGAGGTTGGGGTTTATAGAATACCAGCTTAGTGAAAGATATTAACCATGTGAGGAAATGTTCACAGCTGAAACAAATTGCAGATGAACCACAACAACTTGGCCAATATATATATATATATATATAGAAATTTTTTGTCAGGGTAAGAGCACAGCAATTTCATCAGCTTATGTTTTAATCCGACTCTCTGACCGCTGTTCTTCAGTTTTCATAAGGAGTCTTGAAAAGCTCTTAATAAAACAACAAAATTTGATATTTAAAGTTTAAGAGAAGCTGTTCTGCAGAGAGTGTAAGAACAAACTTTAGCACAAAGACATAATCATTTGAAGTCATAATGTCCTAGTTTTTCTGCTCTCTCCTAATTCTTCCCCTGCTGGAAGTGAATAACGACTCCCTCCGAAACTATTTAGGACAAAAAAAATATCACTGCAGGAATGACAAAACTTATACATGTCATGAAACGTTTTAGGAGGATTCAAACACATGAAAAACATTTTTAAACTGTTTTTTCTTCAGATATTGATGCTGTTACTGATCCAGTGTTTAATTTCAGGGTCTAACAGAGACATTATATTTTGCATTTGTTTAAGATTCATTAAAAGTTGTAGGTTTTAACCGTAACCTGCACTGAACACCAGTTGTTTGTTAAAATGTGAAAACTCTCTATGTTCAAATAACAAGAAATGGCATGCTGATAAAATAACATTTATATTTAAAATGAATTTTCAATCAAGTAGTGTTGGAAAATGAGATTAAAAGCCAACAGATGCATCTAGTTTTTAATCATATCAGACATCAAATTAAATTTCCAGCCTCACTCAGTGGGTTTGTGCTTTTTTATAATGAGTTTTATCATTAAACTGGTTTTAAAGCAATCAGGAGACTAAATTTTTTTCAAAGGATTTTTCAAGTAAAACAAAAAGAAAACACATGGACATTTTAAAAAACAGAGGAAAGCAAAATGTGACTAATAAATTTGCTCTGAAACAAAGTAACTTTGTGATGTAAAATCATCCAAAACAGCCCCTGAAGTTATGGTTCAGATAACTAATAAATATCCTATCAAAGCTTTGATGGCTTAATGAGGATGAAGAAAGATGTTACAGAAACCAACTTGATGTTTAGAATTATTTCTTAATCTAATTATAAAAATCAATAGTTTTTATGTTTCAGTTGTTTGGAACAGAGACACTGTAAACTGTCATTTAGAATCTGAATATGCACAAAAGTTACTATTTTTTGTGCAAAAAACACTTCTCTGGAATTTTGTTGCCACATAGAGTTCTGTGCATAAGTTTTAAGCTATTTCTGTTTGTTTCAATTTAACTTCAGAGAAGCCTTTTTTGTTAAATTCGTAAAAATAAAAAAAGTACAGAATCAAGAGCTTTCCGGGCTTTTTAGTGCTCTATCCATTTTTTCTTCTTAAAAAATTTATTGTTTTTGTTTAACTTCATTTAAATCATTCATAATCACATTACTGTTCTCTACAATTAAAAAAATGTATGTATGTTTGAAAACTCCACTGACCTGAATTATTTAGGTAAAACAGGCACCAAGATGAAGCTTTGTTGTTGTTTGTTACTATCAAGCAAAAAAAATGCCAAAGGAAGCAGTTTTTATCATCTTACTTTATTTTTTGGAACAAAAAATGTACCAAAGAGCTGCTTCCCCTAAACCTGATACTGTATATACTGTAGAGGAGGGATTAACTAAAAAATTATGTTTTTCTAAACTCTGATTGGTCTATCAATCTCTGATTTTTCAACATTTAGTTTTTCTCTGCTTCTAGTTTTATCAAATTAAAAAATATATACTGCAAATAAGACCAGGGTATGCAAAGTCTACCAAACCTTTGCAGCAGCCACTTCAAACGTTCCAAACATGACTCTTTAGAAGCAAAATATAAAGAAACGAGCGGCGGCCTAAGACTTTTGCACAGTGCTGTATTTTTTTCTTGTGGTCGGATGTGACCGTAACCTTTTCCATTTTCCTTTCATCTTAAAATAACAACATGAGAGGTGTTCCAGCAGATGGAGGAAAGTGTGAATATTTTCACGTTAACTGGCAGCATCTGAACAGCTCAGCCAGAGCTGGATGTAAACAAACAGATGAATCATCTCTGCAGAGATCGTAAAACGTGCCACACACCTGGGCGTTTATTCGTTAACGTCTCAGTTGTTTCTTTACAATGCGTTTCACCTTTGCAGCGGCAAAGCAAATGTGAACAAATATTTGTTTAAAAGAGGGAGGTCTGCGAAGGACAGAGGAGACATTTTCATTAGAGCTTTCTGCTAATCTTTGAGTCTTTCCCGTAATTTGATTTCGACCAGAGTCTATTGCCCCTCTGGCTCACAGACGAATTACGCTGTTTGCATTAGATCCTAGTTTACTTGCTTCTTTTTTTGTTTTCTTCTCACTCACATAAACAGTCTTTCCTCTTACCTCCGTCATGTGGATAAGGTAGAACCTCAGCTCGTGAGAGTAATCTGCGAAACAGAAGGAGAGAGAGAGATTTAAGGAAAATGTTTTCTTTATGTCACCGTTTTTCCCTCCCAACCAACTTCCCGCTGGTGTCCTTTTCACACACTCTCCTTCCTCTTTGTACCTAAAGCAGTGATGTGCATTTCCGATCGCAATTCTGCCAAAATACTTTTATTGATGGAAAGCTTTTTACTGCGGGTCAGCCTTATAGGCGTGCTCTCATTATTCACTGAAGGAGCGCTGTGGGAGACAGGCCTGTGGGTCTGGAGTCAAGATAAATGGTTTTAATCGAGTCAACGTGCACACTTAGACATGGATCCACATAATGCTGTGGTGATGTTTACTTCTGTGTTTTTATTGCGCACACAAGAACATGAGCTATATATGATTAACACCTATTTAAATGGGAGGAAATCAATGTAAAAATCACTTGATAAATAGGAAATAGACAAAACAAGGTCGGTAAGTTCATTGTTAAAACTTTAAAATCATTTTATAAGAAGTTCTTTACCTTTCTTAATAGTTATGTTACTGTGTTAAGCATGAACCCAGGATTTGCAGCTGCATAGTCAAACCCATGTTTTGTAGATTTGTAACAAACTTAAAGATTAAAAAAAATTAACAATAAGAAATTTGTTGAGACAGTTTGGTCTCGCTGGTTTTGGCTTGGCAGATGGAAGTTGGTGCTTTAAGATGCAAATCTGCTTGGGAAAACTGCAATAGCTTTTGAAGCCTCTTTTTTTCAGAATAATGAACTCAGCTCATTGTGTCCGAGCGTTTCTGCAACTTTTTGTAACTGAATCTAACAACATGACACTTACTCCCAGGCAGATGGGTGGTTGTAAAACAGAGATCAGTGCACAAACTTCCCTCTCTGCCTATCTTATTTCCTTTGTTACAGAAGTAACACTTGTCCTGGGAAAAAGTTCAACAAAACAAAAATCAGGGTTGATATTCTATCCTTTAAATAATACTGTTGGCTTCTTTATGCCATATCTCCTTGCCTTTTTTGTTCTTTTCGAAGTATTTTTGCATGAATTTAGACACTGTGAGCAAAAACTGTTTCACCTGATCCCTTTAAAAGGAAAACAAATTGAATACCAAGTGTTTAAAAACTAAGAAATGAGGCCAGGGCTGGTAAACAGATCAGAATACTGTGACTTGTGCAAAATCTGCTTTTCTAAACCTTTTTTAATAATATTTATTTCATTTAAACGACAAAAACAAGCATTAAAAAAATAAACAAAAAAAGCACAATTTCCAGCAGAGGTCACTGTTGGACCAGTATTTGATCTTCAAAAACCAGAAAGAAGTTTACGGTATTTTAAAGGACTGTCAGTGAAGTTGTGAAAATATCCCTGTTCTTTTATTTAGTCCACATGAAAAATAAAACTACATATAGTTTGTATATATTTGTAAAGTTTTAGAAAATTCTACGGATGTTTAAAAGCTTATATTTTACCACAACATTATTAACAACTTTTTTTTTATCCGCTGTAACTAAAAATAATTTGAAACATAATTTACTTATGGATTATACACATTTTTATTCAGGAAATGTTCAGTGTTTTTGTATCATGTGCTGCAGACATTTCTTTATATTTCATTTCAATTGGGATGTTTTCTTGTTATAGCTCTTCTGGCTCTCTGAAGGCTTTCAAAAGATTTAAACAGCTTTTTTAAATGAAATATTCTTGCCCATTCCTTGCAAAGGTGTAAAGTAACTAAGTACAAATACTTTGATACTGTACTTAAGTAGAGTTTTTGCTTACTTTACTAGAGCAATTTTTTTCGGCCTTCATTTTACTTCTAAGGTAAGCAGTAGAAAGTTGTTATTCCTATTTCATTCTGGCTCGTTATTGTTAAAAAAAATACTATCCTGAAAAAATGTGCTTCTTGGATAGAGTGAGAAGTATAAATACTGTATATACCATTCTGACACTGTAGTTTGTATGCAGTCCATCACAGCTGCATGCCTTTTAAATGTTTTTTGGGGGAGTTCACCTCCCAATAAAGGTCATTTTGGAAAACATTTTAATTAATTAATTAATTAACCTTTTTTCATTTTAATACTTAAACACATTTTATGTCAGGAATTTACTTTTGATACCTAAGCACAAAAAAAATCAGAAACTTTAAGAATTTTGATCAAGTAATATTCTTAGAGAAGACGTTAACTTTTACCAAAGTAATTGTATGATAAGATACTTGTACTTTTACTCAAGTACTGTATCACTATGAGGTACTTTATACACTGATTTCTTGTATGTGGTTCTTTTTGCGTGTATAAAAACAAGTGAAAAGGTAAAAAAGGACTTTTTCCCTAACACTAAACCTGTGCACTTTACTGCTGTAGGTTAAAGGTGAAATATGTTGTGACGTTTGTTTCTTTTAAAGGCAATGTTTTAATTGGCACATGGTTATTTCAGTGTCAGTGTGTTCTCTGTCACTTTCATTGTTTCCCACGCTCTTCAGCCTTGTATTGGGGTAATAGGAACACAGGAAAGCCCCTGTATTGAACTTGTCCTGTGCGATTACACACTCACACACCCACACACACATACACATGACAAACGCCCTCGCTGAAACAAACACAATCCCCCCCGGCGCCTCCTTCCTGACTGACGTTGCTGAAGTGAAATAACAATGACAAGCAGCAGGGTGGAGGTGAGTATCTGTGTCTGAGTGAGGGTCCTCTCATGAAACACACACACATACTCCTCTCACTCTTCTACCCTGGTGATAATGATTGATATGGTGCAGGACGGGGGTCACAAGTGCCCCAAAGGAGATCAGCCATGTCTAAAAAAAAAAGGGGGGGGGGACCTCAAGCCTGCATCTGAGTATCATATTCTGGCAACAGAAATACCCAAATAAGACTGACTGCTCACCAGAAGTCATTGTTTTTCTCACCTCTAGCTGCAGACTGAATGTGTCTCAATAACTCGATTCAGTAGTTCACATTTCTGTTAACCCTCAGTCCTGAGGCTAGACCTGAACAGTCTGACCGTCTAATCTAATTTAAGCCTTAACATCCTTACAAACTTTATCAAATCTGTGTTTTTATAACATTTCCCATTTGACTGTGGCCAAAGCCTTGTGACACACAACAAGGCACTCAAAAATCAACTAATGACATGTAAACGCAGGTTAAATGTACCGTATTTATTCATGTATAATACGATCTCATGTATAATACGACCCCCCCCCACACCTTTTTTTAGCTTAAAAAGCATAAAAAGTTAATCCTCAAACTACCTCCAATTTCATACAGACTTCAAGATTTTTCAGCCTTTGCAGTCTTTATACACATCAGTAAAATGATCATTGAACTGTTCATTTTATTTTAACAACATATGTACTAAAAGGTATTTTGACAACAAATATACTGTATATCAGTTAAAGCAGCATCATATGAATTCTGGCATTTTACACATAGTCCACCAGGAGGCGCCAACACAAAAGTCAGAGACCTCACATGAGATTTGGGACATCTTGTGGGGGAAAAGCAGATTACTTCCTACTCGCGAGCGCCCCCTCTGGTGGGGAAACTTTTTTCAGGGATACAAACTTTTTCAGAACCCCGGTAGATGGCGGCCATAACAGACGAACATGTGTTTGTTGTTGTTCGAGGAGCGGCTCAGTCACATACTAGTCATTAGTTCGTTATCATTACTAAGGTGCAGGACTGCTTTTTTCCCCTTTTTCACATCATGTCGCCTGCTTGGATCTGTTATTATCTCACTCTGAAGCACGGAGGAATGTCACAGGTAAGCTCGCTTCAACTGCTTTTTACGATGCTGTCTCATTTCCGGACTCAGGCATTTTGTGAATGAAGCCAATATTTCAGTTAAAATACGTAAGTAAAAATATTTACCTGAGTATAATACTACCCCCCAACTTTATGGATGATTTTATGGATTAAATTTTACGTATTATACTTGAATAAATACGGTAATTCTTCAGGTAATTCTTTTTGTTTTTTTCAGTAAACATACTGTATCTAAAAGGCAAAATGTCAATTTTTGAACTGTCTGAATCAAATGTTTAAATAAAAAGTAAATATGAAACTACATAAAAGCACAAAAACGAAGACTTAAATGTTATGGATAAAACAAATCTTCTAAAAACACTTCAAGCCTTTTGGGGTTTAGTAGCTTAGTGTTAATATACTTAATGGTCATGGCTGAATCTAAAGCGCACACCGCTGTGTTTCGAGGGGTTTAGACATTCGGAGCTTCTTCGCCACACAAAAGAATATCATTAGTGAAGATTATGTGATTTGAGGCTACACTCGAACCTGTGTAGGGGTGGGGTTCTTCCTGAGACCTTTGAGCCAAGCCGACAGCTGGTTAATTCAAATCATTTGGCCTCATCAGACACCGCTGATTTATTAATAGATAAGGATTTGAGAGCCAGAGTTCTCCTCGGCACACTTCAAAAGCATCAGAGCAGACAATCGAACAATCTCTTGCAAACAACCCCCGGCCCCACCCCCACATCTGCTAAACCCACACTCAGCCTGCGGTCCACTCGGCTGCCACGTTCATTCGCCACTCAGTTCAGATGATGCGACAAACGTTTTGTTCAGATCCTGCTCAGCAAACTTATCAGCCCACGTGTTGCAGTTAGAACAATTTCTTCACAATGCTTTTGGTGTTAGGGTCCAAAATGAGCTCATTCTGTCCTGGCCTTGTGCCTCTCCTTCCTTCTCTGTACTCACAGATGTTTACATCAAGTTTTATTTATTTGATTTGCCTGGGCACCGCGTGGCCCCTGATGGCCCACTTCTTCTCTCTGTGCTGCCCAGAGGAGACAATCGTTTACACTAAAATGAAATCAGAAGACAAAGTGACAGGAATTGGGCGCTTATTTCATAAATATCCTTTGGCTCCACGCAAACTGAAAATATCTCTAGAACTATGGAGCTGTGTGTTTATTTCTGCATGAGAAGTTTACATTTCATGTTCTAATCCAGGGCTGAAATGCACGAGTTTAAGTTTCACATGATTGTTTGGAGAAATGCAGTAATTTTAACTGGTTGTATATTTTAAACTTTGTGTTGCATTTCTATACAAACACACCCCACCCACAGAGTATTTAGGCCTTTTAAGGTCACCTTAACGTGTCAATCATCTCAGCTGGGTCTTGTAGACATGATAAGGCTTACATACCATCCTGAAGCCGCAGGTGTCTGAGATACAGCGGACTCTGGAGGACGTTACACCTGCCCGGCTCGTTTTCTCTTGTCATGAGCATCAAGTCATTGTAGACAAACACTGTAACCTGACAGACATGAAAAAAATGTGAGGAACAGGAAGTAAAAAAAAAAAGTTAAAAGCAGAACGTCGGTGATGCTTGTTTATCACAAACACTTTTTGTGGTTTAGACCATCCAGTCCACACAGTTTCACTTATTAACTGAAACTTTAGTTTACACAAAATTCCAAGAACATAAAATCTGTTTGCCTTTGTAAACTCTGCTGTAGCCCCTGCTTTTTATTTTAACCGCGAACAATACGGATTTTGTTCTCAGACTATACTCTAATGGTTGTTAGAAATGTATTGTAGTGCAAAAATATTGTAAAATGAATGAGCACAATGAAAATAAAAATAAAAATAATAAAAGCAAAATTATTACACTGAACTAAAATTGCTTGTGTAAGTTAGTTCTTTCATGCAGAGCAAAACACACCCATGGCAGACAGAACATAATCACTCAGATAGCGCAAAGTCTCAAGACAATGGTTTTGCTTTGGTGGCTTCCTTTGAAGGGTGTGTGTGTGTGTGTGTGTGTGTGTGTGTGTGTGTGTGTGTGTGTGTGTGTGTGTGTGTGTGTGTGTGTGTGTGTGTGTGTGTGTGTTATCAGTGGGTTATCAGTGTGTGTGTGTGTTATCAGTGTGTGTGTCTGCGTGGGTGGAAAGAAGTTCAGATCACCCGTTTTTACACAGTCAAATGTGCACAAATACAGCACAATACGTTAAAGTATTTTTATTTTGCAGCATCAGTTTGAATGATTATATAAAACAAAGATAATTTTGGAAAGCTCAGTTTTTCACACTCAAGTGAACGCACTTTATAAAGTCATTAATTTCATTTTCCGCTTAATACAAAACAAATATCAGATTTTAGTTAACGATGGTTTTCTGATTGTTTTTTTCATTAAATTACACTAGTTTTTCACTGCAGCTTGCTGCTGTCTGGCTTATAAAATGAATACTTTTTTGAAAAGTAAATACTTTCTGTGTAATTGCAAGATAACAAGAAATAAAATAAACTTGTTAGGCTAACAGTTTGTTTGCCCCGCTGGAACAACTTGGAGAAATCACAAAAACAGCCTGTTTAAAACAGGACTGGGGAGAGAAACTGCCTCGTGACAAACAGTGGTGGAAAAATATTTGTTTTACAACTCCAGAGAGACTCCACAAGCAAAGCAACTTACTCTACTGAATAATTTTTAAAATAGGGCCTATCATTAGATTTTTAATAAAAAATATGGAAAATGAAACATTCAAAAACAACCTTATTTGTATTTCCAGGTACAGCGTAGACCACTAACATTTTAGACTGTTAAATGTTGTGATGTAGATAATGTGATCAGGCTTATTGGTTTTACAGCTCTTTCTGCATGCTCACCTAAACTACAGGACTTGGTTTTATGTACAGAAACTAACGCTTTCTAAGCAAAATGACATGTTTAAACTACAGCGACGTAAAATATTTGATTTATTTTTAACTGATAGAACATTTAGACATTGTTATAAAATACAACAATTTCCTTCTTATCAAACCTGATTAAAAAAGAGCAACTTAATTAGTCATGCAGATGTGGTGCATGTAATCAAAAACAAAATAAAATTTGATGACATCATTTTATAATCCTGACCATCCTTGTGAGCCAGGTTTATAGTAAATGGAGCACCAACATGTTTGGAGACCTGAAACAGAATTTCTCTGAGTCAAATCTTTCTAAAAATACAAGAACATGTTCAAACACTTCTCACCCTGACCCTCCTTCTGTGAGATGTGTTGTTTTAATTTCTCTCCCTGCTTTTGATGTTTATCAACGCTGACATTTTAACTTGGAATATGCATCAGAGCCATGGACAGTCACATTCAGTTTGATCACATAAGTGAAGCACATGAAAGGCACATAAGACTGCAGAGGACAGCAGAGCAAAAAAAACTGAATATTGTTGTATTAATCCAATTATAATAATCTTGAACAATTCAAATTTCACAGCTTTGAGACAAAACACGTTGCTTTAAAATATAAACCTTGTAACGTTATTTTTAGTTTGATGCCACATGATTTTAAAACCTATCTAGCCTCTAAATATTGTACACATTCTGCAAGACATTCACATCTAAAAACCAGATGGGTTCACTACTGTGCATTAATCTAATAATTTGCACCGACATAAATAGCCAGTGTTTATTACTGCACTGATGTCGCTCACCTTCAGAGAGTGGTGCTGACTCTCGTGTAGAATCATCTCCTCGGATATGATGAGTGTTCGGCTGCAAAGGTCCAGAGGCTGAAAGCAAAAGAACGACATGGTGAGATTAGCATCAAAGATGGAGTTTTTATGTAATAACAGAGCCAAGTGGACATATTGCCATTTCTTAATGAACACATATTTACAATAAAATTGTTAAAATTTGTAGTTACGATACAGTACCGAATCCATTTTGAATCCTGAATCCAAACGAACAAATAAACAACAAAGACGATGTCTTTTTTACTGGCTTTAAGACAAAAAAAACAAGTTGCGACGGAGAAGAGAACTCTGGTTGAGAATTACAAAAGAGTGACAAATAAGACAAAGTAATGCAACAACGTGGGAGGAGGGGACTTCCTGTGAAGTCCAAAGTGAGAAGCAGTCGATTCTAGATGTGTGGAACTTGTTTTCTGAGAACTGGGGTCAATGTTGTGTTCTGAAATGAGTCACGTGATTTAATAAGATGTTTAATCCCAAGCTTAGTATTTTTAAAGTGAGAACTTTTAAAGGAGGTAAACTTAAATAAACCTAAATAAATAAAAGGTTTTATCTGAGATGTGGTAGGAGCAACAAGTTCCTCGTGTCATTGTGGTTATTGTTCATTTAAGCCCACATGAACTGCATGTTAAGACAGCAGAACTTACCATTTATTTAGCAATAAGATGACTTAACAGAACTTTTATCTGTCTGTGAATATTTTCTTACAAGTAAACGGTTTTAGTTGAACCATAAAGAGCAGTAGGGTTGAATTTATTTTGTACACAGGTAAAAGCTTGTTAAAACACAATAAAAAAAATTCACTCATAATGAATGACTTTCATTCTAATGAAAACTCAAAGAGAAAGGTCAAACATATTTGTAGATTACAAACCTGAAACCAAATGTGACAAAAGGAAAGGCCATCATACAAAGTATGATGTCACAGTTTCTGTTTAAATACGAGGCAAGTTCCAAAACTCTGTGTTTTTTGTAACATTTGAGCTTCACCATAAAAATACCCACAGCATTTTATAACAAAAAGGCAATGCTACAGCAATAAATATCATTAAGAACACAGACTCCAGTGAATCTGATCAGGTCAAGTAAAAAGACACAAGCAGAACAAACAAAAGCTCATGTCATACCGAAGTAAATAAGTTATTAATAAAGTTAATACAAACATTTTAATTAGTATAAATATTAAGTCAAATTCAGAAACAAAAAATAACTTTATATATATATATATAAATTTTTTTACAAAAAAGACAAAAAATGTCCTCTGTGTTTCAATTTTTGACTCATGAGTGCTTTTGTTTTGTTGTCTGTTTTTCTTGCTTGGTGATTATATTGTGGTTGTGGGGCAGTGGTAGGGCAGAGAGTTGCAGGTTTGATTCCCCAACATATCCATATGTTGCAGTGTCCTTCCATAACTGCTCCTTAGTCAGAGTCATAGCTTAAATTAGCTGCTCACTGCTCCACTTGTTTATATCTTACATGTTATAGGTCAAATGCAGAAAATAAATGTTGTCATTGTAAGGACATACAATGATGACAACATATAGCACCATCACTAGCTTATATCTGTCTGTTTACTAAAGTAATAACCCACTAAAAGCTGATCTGGCAAAAGCTAAAAACAACTGTTCTCCATCACTCTGAGCTTTCTAATACTTTTTATAAATTATCAAATTTTTATCAAAACTGCAGCAAAAGTTAAAATCAAATGCATTTCAGCAAAAGGACTAAAAAGTAGATCAAAGACAGGACAAACTGTCATACATTGTAATAAGTTGAATATGTTTCAATAACATACAATGCATGTTTTGACTAAGATTTACAAAAATATAATTTATCTATCAAAACTGGGAAATCTGCACAAACTGACTCACCTGAACAAATATGGGGAAGATAAGGATTTTGGGTGCAACTTTGACATATCCATAATTGGCGTGTGGCGCGTGTGACCGGACGATCGTACAGTTCTGATAGTTGGCAAAATTGGCGTTGTGCTGGTAGTTGGGTGGGCCGGCGTTGGTGGAGGTGGACGACCCTTTTGATATCTTGGAGTTGTTGGAGCGACGTAGGAAGCCGGTACGGCTGGAGAGGCCGGCACCTCCTCCGCCGCTGACACCCCCAGAGGAGGCACCACCTCCCCCACTCTGAGGCTGCGGGCCAGAAGTCTGTCGAGTGGGGTATAACCTGCTGTAACCTGCAGCTGTAAAGCAAACAGATGGAAGGGAATTACTTCCACTGGAGAGGGATTTCTACTTACGAGGATACAGTCGTTAAACTTGGCTTAATGAGACTTGTGAAAACAAGTGAGAAACCGGACATATTTGAATGTTCAAACCTAATATTTTTCATTTTTAAGTCAAGGTTGTTTTATAATTTAGGTATTTTCAGAAAAGAGAGATCAAAAAGCAATCTAAAAACTGGGTTCAATGCAAAGTATAAAGATGAGAACCCACCAGTGAAAATCTAAAACATGAAAATTAAACCATGAACATGTCTTACCTAACGTCCCCTGGTTGTCCTGATAGACAGGCCTCAGGATCTGAAAGCAGAGTAGTTTAAATCGGCATTGAGAAATGTTTAATTAAACAAGTCAATATCTGTGAAACAATAAATCCATAAAACATGCAAAATAATGTCAAATTCATAATATTTTATTGGCTGTAATGTGCAGATTAACTGAACACTAATTGTCTTTATAATCTTACAAATCTATCCTTAAAATAGCAACTTATCAGCAATGTTTTGTATTTTTGTGCTGATATGCAAAAACTGTTTAACCCAGTTTACATCTTTTTGTTGTAGCTCACGCTGACTCTCGCACTCAGCAAGACAATGTTTGCTTGTCATAACAGAATAAATATTCTGCTGAGAGAGTAAGAAGAAAAGCTGCCAACACATTAAGTGCTGATCAGATTAATGAGGTAGTCAGAGCAAGATGTAGGAAGCACCAAATCTTTTAAAATAATACATTGTATTGAAGTTTTTGTCTGTATTTGGACGATGGAAGTTGCTGTAAATGTGACCCATTTCCTGAAGGCTTTCTTTATTTTTAGTCGGGTCCAAACCCCCTGCCTATTTATTTCAAACTGAAGCTGGATGTTTGTATAGGAAGGTTTGTCCACTATTATAGTATGTAGTTCTTATTCCTGAGGCTAAATATATTCTTTCTTTAAATAAACAGTCTGTCGTCTCTGTGACTCTTCCTCTGCTTTATCTCCTAACATCCAACTGATCTTATGAGTCAGAGTGCTCACAACACACAGCTTGTTCAAAGCACTTGTGTCCCTTTGCTGAACTAAAAAGAGAGAAGCAGGAAAATGAAAACACAGCTTGAAGAATATGCAACACACAAACATACATGCAACAGAAACATTTAAAAGCAAAAACACACAAAATATGAGTTAGTAAAATGTTTTAATACAAGCTTAAACTCTACATAAAAGGTTGGTTTATTAAATGTTTAAAGGTATAAGCTGCTGCTTCTACATAACAAAAAAAGGAACAGAAAGATTTCATACAATTCCTAAATCTCTTGGTTCAAAAGTGATTTATAAGTTAGTATTGTGTTATTAAAGCAGTGTTAGCTGAGTAATTCAGATCAGTCTTTTTGGATTTATTCAGTTTTCTTTATTGTGCTTTTATAATTAAACCTTGACTTCAAATACAGAGCAAAAATAATTATGTGCTGTATAAAATATACAAAAATTAAAAATAATGCAATGGATCTTTCTCAAAATATGTGAGGATTCATTAACTATGAGTGAATGTTTTTTGTCTTTTTGAAGTTTTTTAAATAAATAACAGTACTTTTTGTTTTACAGTTAAACTATAAGATATGTATCATATAAATGATGTACATAGGTATTGTTTTCAAATAAATTTCCTCTGGTTGGTAGGATGTACTAAAACAAATACTAACAATGTATCATTAACAGTAATATTTTAAATGCCATTGTCGTACTTGTTCTCCATATCTACATGAAACTGAGCTATATGCAGTATGTAATGTGATGAAAACACTCATAAATCAATAAAACAACAGTAGGACACAGACACACATTCATCTATCAGCACTAGGGATGTAAGGTAAAGAAACATATCTAGGTTGAGCCACCAAATGACCATAGTGAGGGTGAGGAGGACGGAGAAGATGATGAAGATGCAGCCCTCCACCAGTCTGTGGTACCTGGCTTCCGGGGTTTATGGGCGCCAGGATGATGTAATTGTCCCCGTTGGACGCCTTCACCCTGGTTCCTTTCAGTGTGGCGGTTGGAGGGTGGTGCAGGAGACGCGGTTTCCCATCCAGCTCCTCCGTTGACCCTACATGCCCCCCCCAAGCGAGGGTCCCTCTGCTCAGGCCAACATTGTTTCCGCCTTCTGAGCCGTTCACCAGCAGCCTGCGGGTCGCAGCGGCGCGGTGGTGCGCCGGGAGCGGCGGCACGGCTGGGGGAGACTTGCTTGTGCCGACATCTGGTGCGCGCCTTCGGGTGGGGGGTGACGGGGCTTCATAGTTTGAGGTAGGGGGTTTGTAGGAGGGCCGGTGGATGAGGCCTTCGAAGTTAGGTTTGGCTGAGGGGCCGGTGCGCCACACCACCACTGTGATTTCATTGGCACTGTTTCTAAAGATGCAGAAAAATGCAAAGTTTATTTTTAATTTTGGAAATTTTGTGGAAATTAACTGAACTACAGATTGTCTCACTACATGATGATGAGTCTATATGAAAGAAATGCAAACTGTATAAAAAATCTTGGAGTCACTGAGTCTGAAGAAATGAAATTATATTTTAAAGTGCTGTCTTAAAAAATCCACAAGCTTTTTAGTTTTAATGCCATAAATCTAGTGTCTTGAAGAAACATCTCTGCACTTCCTATCATACCTAAGTCTTAAAAAAGCTATAAATAAAGCATGGATTTGGGCAGTTTTATGCTCTGGTGAGTTGGAATTGTTACCGTATAGCATGAGCCAAGTCCACACATTTCCACTGCTCCACTGGCTGACCATTTAACTGCAGGAGAGTGTCCAGCTGCTGCAGACCAGCCTGATCTGCTGGACCCCCTACCAGAGAGAAAAGACCGTTCAAATCTTTACATATTTATGAGCCAAGTTCATGATGTTCAAATAAGCAGCTTTTTTATTTAACAAGCAAAACTTCGCTTTTTACAAAATATTAAAAGACAGTCAAAATAAAACCGAATGTGGAAAGCTAAAATGGCCATGAATTGATTTGAAATTCTCTCTGAGCAAATTGTTTTCAGCTTAAGATTGACCATGTTGTTTAAAAAATGTGTGAAACTGGATTTCTGCCAAGATGGGGGATAGATAGGCTGTTTATTTAACAGGCAATTTTCCTTTTTACTGCAAAATACTGCTGACCCAGTCATTAATGGTAATTTGTCAAATTATAAAATAAACTACAATCATATCAAACTCTGAGAGGAAAAATGAACAGACATCAAAATCGGGCATCATTGATCCCAGTTGGTCAGGTTTTTGGCGTGTTATTGTCCTTTTCTCTTTATCCCTACTTCCAGTGCAGCCTCACTGCCTCCTCATCATACAAGGACACTTGGTCAGGCTCCTACTGATTAGCCCTGATCTCTAAACTTAAACAATGACTCTAAACCTAAAACCTAATCTGATGCATCAAATAATGATGAGAGGGGGGTACCCAATGCCTCTATAAGTGACGCAGGGTAAGCCTGACCAAGTGTCCATTTACGACGACTAGGAAGAACATGTTTCATGTGTTTATTCACATTTCTATCTCAAAAAGGACAAATATAAAGATGCAAAACTCATGCAATCAATAACAAAAGTATCAGTTGTCTGAAAACTTATCTTAAAGTTCATGTCATAAGTGATATCAGAATGAGAATTTTTCTTTTTTAAAACTTACAAAATATGATCCTTAAAATATGACTAAATTGTTACAATATTTAGGTAAAAATGTATATAAATGTATTCAATTCTTGAATTTTTTTCTAGTGACATTGTCATGAAAACAACAAGATTTCCTGATAGGTCTTCTGCTGTGTTCTTATTAAGAGGCAACAGAATAGTCAGTTCTGTTCACAGTTTGATGTGAGGTCATGCTGCCCTCCAAATGATACAGCCTGATGAGACTGGTGACCTTATCTAAGTCCTACTGATAAGCTTTGTTCAAATTGACACTTCAAAAATCTTAGGTTAGACAGACTCTGCTGCTTGGAACGGTCTCATTCTTGGGATGCTCTACTTGACATTTTTTGTAATAAACTGTTAAAAATCAACAAGCTGAGTTTTCCTGATGTCCTTATCCTTTTGCCATGACAAGCTTTTCATTTTACAGTGATGATCTCTGGACTGCTGAGCTTTATTTGCACAGATTCATGCATGCAAAACTCACCTGGATCAACAGCCTGAACCCTCACAGGGGAATCTGAGCAGATGGTGAATCCATATCCATCCTTTCCTCGAAGGATGGTAACCTGCAAAACACACACAGTCACTTTTTTTACATAAATTATCAGATTAATATCACTACCTGAGAACTCAAAAATCTGGCAAAACAATCAGCTTCCTTCCTGCTGGATGATTAAGTTGTTTTTTATTCTGCTCCGACTTCCTATTAAATCTGTCTTGACAGCAGTTTTCACAGAGAATACAATTAGCTGAATTAGTAGGAAGAACAGCTCCACAGAGAGAAGAGACGTTCTCTGTTTAATAGTTTGAGAAGAACTGAAGAAAACCTGCGTATCAAAAAGTAAACTGGTTGTTAATAATGTCCACTTTCTTAAAAAAATTCTGAGCTCAAAATGTGTCATTGAATTAAAGCACACCTAAACATGAAAGATTCAAGGTTTCTTCAGGAGAACGTGTAATAAAAATTTAATAAAGCAGGATGTGTAACTCTAGTTTTTCATGGTTGATTCCCACACTGGAGCAAAATCTTGACTTTTTCATGTGTTATTTTCATTTTTTAATGTCCAAAAGAAGAAGCACTGAATCATAAAACGTCAGAACAGTTTCTGACTATGATCACTGATGAGGTTGTTAAAGGTTCTGTACCTCTGTGAAACAGCTGTATACCATGAAGTGTTAGGTTTTAATCTAGTTCCATAAAGTAAACATGAGTGAGAACACTGATAGATAGGGATTTACTGCACTGTAATGTCCAAAAACAGGATATTTCAACATAAAACAAAAGAAACACTATTTATGAGTGCATCAAAACCACACACATCGATCTATACACACACATACACACAACTCTGATGTTTCTTTCCTATTGTTTCTCTTTCTCTTGCCAAACAACTAGTGCCTCTCGGAGCCAAAGTCAACACAGCTCCATCCAAAACAGTTCACTTTCCATCTCATCTGCTGATAACCACACGCTCATAAAACGCAGACCTTCCCAGTTTCTCTTTATTTATTTCGAGCACGGAGCAAACCTGCATGTGAACGCTGCTAAATCGCAAAGTCTGCCCACATGTGGGACACAGGCAGCTTCAGAGGAAAAGTCTGAGGCCTGAAGCTTGTGATGACCCTAAAATGTCGGGTATAATTGTGGCTCCTTATAGTCCACTGACTTCATGTGCCCTGTGTTACAATTTTCTGACAGATTTTAGTGAGCTTCAGTCTCTTGTTTTCATCTATCCACAAACCCATTCTGCTTGAAGAATAGAGCTACAAGAAGACACCTATGGCACCTGCTATAAACACACACACACACACACACACACACACACACACACACACACACACACACACACNCACACACACACACACACACACACACACACACACACACACACACAAACACACTGTTGTGTGTTAAAATGGAGCATTACCAGTTGAAATACTGGACCCACACACACTATGTTATTAGAAATGATTGAAGTATTTCAGCACAAACATATTTTTCTGAAACAGAGGAAACACTGAACACGTGCCTCTGTTTTCAGTAATACATTTTTGTAAGTCTGAATGTTTCACAAATATTGCAATAAAGAAGAACCAGATACACTACAAAAATATCCAAGGAGATAAGAGTTGAAATGCTGATAAACATGGATGCAACAGACAAGAGGCTATTTAAATATTGGCTAAAGAAAGCAGTGGAAATTCAAAAACTAACAGAAAACAGATGGTAAAGCCAAGCAGAAGAACGAATAGTGTGAAACAAAAACGTTCATACAAATCACAAACTGTTATGAATCATTTTAATAGTCAAGTCTGAAGTCTTATTAAAAACAAAAGGATTCAATGTGATGAACAATGTCCCCAAGTATGTTTCTCTCTGCATTTTTGTGCCTTTTTTTCAAACACTTCACAGTGAAGTCACAAACTGGATCAGTTTGAACTGATTCATCACAAACCCAGAGCTGTTTGAGTCTAAGCGCTTCATTAAGTTTGGTCTGTCTGAACGGGTCGACTGAATGACCAGTTTTTATTCGTAACTGAGATAAATGACAAATATCAGTGTAAAGATTCTTTTCCACTGCATAAATCAGACAAATTACTGAATAAATGAAGACATATCCATTTGCAATGTTGTCTGCATGGATTAGATATTCAAATTTTTATGAGTACATTTGATTAATTAGTAATTTAATGGACGAACTAATGAAGTCAAATCTTAGCATTTTAACTTTCTTCTGAATTAATTTACCAGTAGATAAATTAATAAAAATCTGAAGCTTTGTGTTCAAGTGTTTGTGACTAAGCGTTTTTTTTTTTTTCATGTTTCAAATCCAATCATCACTTTGGAGCTGACTGTATGAAGGGAGGAGCAGGTTTTAATTTGGTGATTACAGAGCATGTCTTATCTACTTTCCAACAGCGCAGGAAAGGCTAACATTAACTGCTGACAGTTGAATACAGATTAAATAAAATTACCAGCCAAAGGCTTTATTCTGTATGTGATTAGACAATGTTATCAAACAAGAGTATTTACAGTGACTACGTGACAAAACACCCAGAAATACATCTGACTCCATGTCGAGCTGTGTTTGTCACGTACTTTAGTTGCAGTTGAAATCTTTAATATTCAAATTTTTCATTTATTCCTGTTCCATACATTACAATTACACTAAATAAAAAACTTTCAATGAGGACAATGACATCAGTTTGTATATTTTGAAATATTTGTCCATTTCTCCTCTCTCCCTGCTTCAGAACGTTCTTTCACAAAAGAAATAATAAATAATTTAGACAGCAGAGAGCTGCTTCTCCCCTTTTAAGACACATCTCCTAAAATCTCCTGCATTTCCTCACAGAAAGACAATAAAATGTGCATTTTTGCCTGCATGGTAATAAAAGCCTGCACTTGTGTGTTAAGTGGTGTGACAGATTGATACTAAACTTTTAATGAAGCTTGCATCAACAGCCACTTCTTGGCCCTTCTTTATACCACATTTTTTTCCTCTTTTTGTTTTTTTTTTTCCCCAAGCAAACACACCTGAGGCAGCCTGCATCCAATGCAAAGGTGGCACAGTCCGTGGATGGTGTGCATTACACCTTCTCCTCCTCCTCCTCTCCCTCCACCATCTCCAGCATTCAGGTCCGCAGCCAACACACACACGCTTTGCCGATGACTTTCCACCTGGTTGCCTCCTCTGCAGCCGGAGTACCGCCACAGCTTCCTCTGTGCAGCTGAGTTGGTTCTCCTGTGGTTGTGATCTGACAGCTGTGGGGACTTCAGGGTGTTGTGAATCATCTTACCACAGCTGTCCAAAACGTAGAATCTGGGAGGAAATTCAGTCCTGTACAATCCAGGTAAAAGTCCAGTTTGGTGTTTCTCGGCTTGATGAGGAACAAATGGATGTCTTTCAAGTAAAACAAGACTGGTCCTTTGAGGTTTCTTTTCAGTCAAACTGGAGTTCCCTTCATATCAACTTTGCCCAAAACCATTCATACTCTTCTTTCTTGGAATTCCTCTTCTTTTAACCTTCAGATGCACTTTCTATCATTCAAGCTTGCATGTGTGCCAACGTACTAACTTTAGTAACAGATGCAGTTTTAAAACTTCCATTTACAGTCCTGCAACATTGCTGAAATCCTCCATCCTTCACTTCCTTGTCTCCTGTTCTATGTCTTTCTTCGTGCGTCCGTCTTGTGACACTCAGTAGCCGTGCTCCTCGGTGTGCGTCCTGAACAACAGGAGCTGCGGTAGCGCCTGGGATCAGCTGTGAGAGTGTGTGTGTGTGGTGGCGTCACGCAGGCGAGACTGGCTCTGGCTTGGCCTGTGGAGGCCACACTGCAGCTCCTGGCAGGGGCGCTCATGGGAACTCTTCAACAGCAGAAGAATAGAAGGAAGTGCCTCCAACGCCCCCACCCCCTCCCACCACCATCCACCTCCCACAACCCCTCTAAACACACTCTCACACACACATCCACATGCACTTATGCATACCTCGCCACCCTACAGCCAGAACAGCGTTGTGTGTCTGTCCCCGATAAGACCAGTTGGCTTCCTGAATCCTCACTATGAAGCTGTGAGAGGTGCTACAGTTCCAACATAGGTGGCACAAACGAAACGCATGTGTCTCAAAAGTAGGGCTTTGATAGGAAGCATGGGAATTATCCGAGTTTGTAATGTGCAACCTCAGAATAAACTAATATCTAAAAGGGAAAGTTTCTGATTGCTTTAGACTTCTGGTTCCAACAGTTTTTTTTCCTAACCAAAGACAATGGCACCAGCCTTGTTTAGGGACACATGTCGCTCTCGCACACGTCACACCTCATCACGCTCTTTCCAGCGTGGTTCCCATACGCCCCGCTCTTCATCCAGACATTATTCTTGTTTGTTATGCTTTCTACTTCCACATTTCCTCAGCTTTTCCTTTCAGCTGTTCTCTCCCACCTCAGACCACTCAGTACGGAAACTCACAGGTCTGTGAACTCTTAAAAATTCCCCATTCTCACAGTTGCTCAAACACTACTTTAGCTTTTTGTTTTTGTTTTTGTTTTTAATATCCGTATGTCTGGAACAGAGGTGGATTTCTGCAAATAACAAAAATGTCAATGGCGGTGCAGGGGGAAAAGAAAAAAAAAGCTTGTTTAATTACCAATACAACAGTGGCCTGTCTAACCCTCGGCAGGCTCATTAAATCCCAGCTTTCACTTTAATTGCTTGGATGTCTGGCTCATGGGATGAGACATGGACAGAAAAGTGACAGAAGAGCAATGGTGCACTTGTTTGTACAATGTTAATAAAGTGGCAGAAAACTCCATTGTTTTAAGGTCCCTTTATGCCAGTAATGGCAGCTTCTCCCTGTTTGCCTTGTAGAAGAGTGAGGGTTACCCATCAAGCACACAAAAAACACTTTCCCTCGCTTTCACACTGCGCTGTTCACTCCTAAATGGGCAGAAGGACGGATTAGAGGGAGTGAAGAAAACATGTCTTGGGCAGAGGAGTGAAAGACGAGTTTTGAAAAGCTTGACTAGAAGCCAGACAAGGCCAATCTGGGTTTTTTGTGCTTTTTTT